TTATTTTTTAGTTATTTATTGAGGACATTTTGCATTTTTTGTTCAGATAGAGTGGCAGGGAGAGAGAAACACTGATGTGAAAGGGACACATTGAGTGGCTGCCTCCCACAGGGCCCAGCCAAGGCTGCAACTGAGGTACATGCCCTTAGCAGGAACTGAATCTGGGTGTCTCTGGACCGCAGGCCGACGCTGTAACCGCTGAGCCGAACTGGCCGGGGCACCTTCCCCATCTTTAAAACAAGGGTGTCATACTAGACCAGTGAGATTCCTCTGGATTTAAGTTCTGTGATTCATCCTCCTGCTTCTTTGCTTTCCTGAGGAAAGGTGGGGTTGTTCTGTGCTATGTGCAGTTTTCAATTGTTGAGTGCTCAGATTGGTCGATCATTTCGAATTTAGCAGGGGTAGCTTTGCTTATCTAAGCTTCTGTCACTAGAGGGCAGGAATAAGGAAAAGAATTCCTCCCTCCCTGGGACAGGATTCCACCTGCAGTTCTGTCCGCTGCCAGCAGGGGGCAGGGTCCTCATCATTTCTATTTTTTCAAGTGTGGGGAACAAGCTTTCTGTCTTTTCCTTTCAGGTGTCTCCCGGAGGACCCAGAAATTTGGGACGTTCCCAGGAAATTATGTAGCTCCGGTGTGAGAGGTCTCCGTGGCAACTCAGAGCTCAGCCAGGATGGGGTGGGGAGCAGCTGTAGCACTTCTGGGAGGGAGAGAGGAGCCCCTTTCCTTCCTGGGACCTGGCTGCTGGCATCTGCAGACAACACAGCAGCCTTTTTCTTGGAGCCCCCTCGAAGCCCCCTGGACTGGTTCCCACCCACAGCTCACAAACATTCCCATCACAGTCCTTTTATTTCCTCCCCTACCCAACTCCCCAAATATAGAGGTCTGCTTTGAAGTGGAGACTGTTTCCAGGCCTTATTGAGACCAGACCCCTGAGTCCCCCACCCCCACCCTGCATTGGTGTTTCCTCTAACAGGACTGGCTCCCAGCTCCACCTCCATGGGGTTCCTCTAACAAGGACCAGCTTCCTAACCTAATAGAGACCAAAGGCTGCCGCCTGGAGGGGATTCCACCCCTTTCACTCCAACTTGCCTGCTGCCCCCTTTGCTTTCCTGCTTCCAGCTGAGCCTGGGAGTGAGGTGGGGGGTGGACACAGCCTCTTTAGCTTTCAAGGCCTTGCCGGAAGACCCCCACTTCCCAAAGGCTGCCAAGTCCTGGGCCTGGGCTGTGCATCTGTCCTGCTGCCGTAGTGCCCAGGAAGGACAGGCTCAGATGCCTGGCCCACCCCAGATGTTTCCCAGGGAGACCGATGTGCCCTCCTGCCTCCCCAGCTCCCCCCCAACCCTCAAGTCCCCTCTGGAAGAGAATGTAAAATAAATCTGCATACCGGGGACCTTGCCTTGCAGTCCTTTTGGGGGGATGCTCCTCCTGTTTAGGATTATGGGAATTCTTTCTTCAGTGGGCTGTGTTGAATCAGGTGGGGTGTATGTGTGTGTGTGTGCATGTAAGGGGGTGCTGGGGAAAATCTCAGGCCTCAGGCGTCAGGTCTCAGGCAGCATTGGGCAGCCCCAGTGTCAGGCAGCTGTCTGACAAGCCCTGCAGAGAGAGAGAACAAACACTGCAGGGACTAGGATGAGGCCTGATTGGGGCGAAACCAGAGAGCAACTTAATGTAGCCTTGTGTGCAGGCTGTTTTGAGTCTGGAGCCAGCTTGGGGTTGCCGGACTGGATGACATGTCTAACTGCTCTGTTCCTAATGTTTTCCTTCTGTCATTCCACACTGAAGCTCTGTGTATTTGTTTACTTACTTCTTTAGGCTCCGTTTTTGAGCAGTCACTGGTGGGAAGCTGGGAGTGGTGGGCCACAGCTGGCCCAAAGGACTTCTTGCCCAAAGTTTCGGAGTCCCGGGGGTTGGTGGTTCCTGTGGGGCGACAGTGGTGGCACAGTCTGGAAAGCGCTGTTCCTTGGCAGTGCTGGGAGCTGAGCAGGGCACAAGGTGCTGCACACCCGCTATCTCTGTAAGCACTGTAGCGGGCAGCTGTGACTCCATCCACAGGAGACTGAGAAACCCTGTTTTCTGGGTCACATTGTTATAAAATGCTGAAATCAGATCCATGACTATTGCCACCTGTCTGCATAAAGTCAACCAGGCATTCCTTGTCCAGGAGCCTTTGAAGAAGAAAGGTCACATATGAGGTCAAGGACTTCTGCAGAATGGTCTGGGCTGGGCCTCTCTTACATTCTTTCTGGCAATCCTGTCTTCCAGTCCTGTCACTTGAGGTGCCCCCACCCCAGGTAGGTGGGGAGAAGAGGTGAGGCCCAGTTTAGTCAAGGCAGATGGGTGAGGTCTGTGAATGACGGCAGTGGCCTGGCCCCGGTTGGTTCCTTGAGCCTGGGTGGGGCCGGGTCTATAGTGGTTGAACATCAGCTGGAAGAACAAGACCTGCGTGCCCTCCTTCAGCCATTCTGGCGATCCCAGTCCTCACCACGGTCTGCTTCTCAGTAGACAGGTCCTCCTTGTCTTATAAAAATGACTATTCTTCAGGATCCCATTGGCTTGTTCCTGATCCCTGTCCCAGCTTCTTTGCATTCCTTGATGCCCTCGGGTAAGATATCAGGGTTGAGCTTGCCTTTACTTGGGCAGAAACCAAATCCACACCCTCTGTGATGGGGACCTGAAACCTTGGCAGCAAACCAATCCCAGGTCCCTGGGCTGCCTGCCATGAGAGCCCTGATGTATGATGACCACTTCTGTGCCTTGATCTGGCACAATTGGGGGAGGGTCAGAAGCCTGAGAAGGGAGGGGGACCTGAGGGGTCAGAGCCAGAAAAGACCTTAGGCCACTGAGGCTGCTCCTCCCATTAGAGAGGTGAGGTGCCCAGAGGCACAGAGTTGCTTAGAGCAGAGCAGTGCTCCCTTCTGCTCTGAGGGGTCATGCCTTGCCGGCCTAGTCTTTGTCCTGAGCTTTGTGAATGTAGAACCCATGGAGCAGAAATCCTGCAAATGAACCTGTCAATGTGTCTAGAGACTGTTTAAGGCAAAGTCAGGAGCACCAAAAGGTGTGAAACAGATTGAGGGGGGTGGTATTAATCGATTCAATCATTAAAACAATATTCATTTAACAAATATTTATCCAATGCCTTACTGGGAGGAAATGACTACTGTGCTTGGTTCTGGAAATGGAGCAATGAACCAAACAAAAACCTAGTCAGCCCTCGGAGGAGACTGTGTACAGGCAGCTTTATATGGGAGGGCAATCTGTACAACTCTGTGTTGTCCCATTTTACAGATGGGGAAACTGAGGCCAAGAGGAGCTGAGGAAATTGCCCAAGGTCACACAGTTAGTAGAGGCAGAACTGTCATCTGAAGTGAGGTCTGCGTGATCCTAAGGCTATTTTGACTCTACCTGTAGCTTTCTGCTCCTTCGGGGTTTCCAGCCTCAGTGGGGAATTGGACAGGTGCATCAGGTCAAGGAAGGACACATCTAGGCATGAGACCAGTTAGTGGGAGAGTGGCTTACACACACTGGGGACAGAGGCTGCGGGAGGCTAGGGACAGGGAGGTGGCAGGTTGGATGGGCTGGGCTGTGTGTGCAGAGAGCCAGAGACTCAGGGCATAGGTAGGTGGGGCGAGGGCACTCCTTGCAAAGGGAACTGGGAGGGAATGACTAGGTGAGGCAGGCAAGTTACAGCTGTGCCCACAGGTGTGCCCCCCCACAACAGACCAGCCTGTCAGAGAGTGCAAAGTGGAGACCAATGGGAGATGGAGCCAGCTCTGGTGGGCCCAGAGGTCCCCATAGGAAGGTTGCTAGGTGTGACTCGGCGAACCATTTGCCAGATGGTTCTGAGCTGGTGCCTGGGGCTTCTCCTAACTGTTCTCTCTTGATCCCTGGAGCCTGAGTTCCAGGTGGTTGGCATAGGGCTGGGGCTTGGGAGGGAAGGGCCGGTGAGGGTTGTTGGGGCTGGCCAGCTCCAGGCAGGAGAGCAAGAGTGAGGGCAGCAGGAATGGAAAAGGCATCAGCTCCGAAGAGGGAGGGACATTTACAGCCCAGGAGGGTGCGGGTGACCTCCATCCTGGGTCTCTCTCCATCTCCTCCTGGACCTGGCAAGTTTCCCTGAGTGGAGCAGGCTTCCCGGGCATCTCCAGCGGCAAGCTTTGCGCCGCTGCCCCTTGAGCACGCTGCCCTCGGAAGGTGACAGAGCGGCCCTGGTTTGGGGTTTGTGGGTGTCGGGCTGCATCTGCGCTGGCGTGGGAGCCTGGAGCAGGCGGACTGGCGGGGTGGACCGTAGACACCAAGCCGGCCCTCCCCCGCCCCGGCCCTCAGGGGGTGCTCACGGGCCCCTTTGAAGTGGGGGCGGGCAGCCCGCCAGGGAGAGCTCAGCCGTCGGAGAAGTGGGGCTCGTCACCGCCGCCAGAAGCCTCCCCCGCACTCGGGGGACAGTCAGGAGTACCGGGCACCTCGGGGAGGACAGCCGAAGCCTCTAGGATACTCTAGGGAGAGTCACCCCTCTTCCCTCCGCGGGGCGCGGACGAGACAGCAGCGCCGGGGCCGGGCTGCGTGGAGGAGGCGGCTTCCCCAGCTGGGGCGGCGGCAGGGGCGGCCCCGGGATCACATGGGCGGAGGCAAGTCCCGGAGCCCCGGGCGGCTCTCCCCAGAGTCGGGCCGGCGACGGCGGCGGCAGCGGGAGCCGCGGCGTCTCCTCGCCCTCCCTCCCTGTCCTGCTGAACTCGGCCGCCCAGCCGACAGGTGAGCGGGGCCCGATGGCGCGCCCACCTGCACCCGTCCGCGCGGCCGGCGGCCTCCTGGCGCCCGGCTCTCAGCCCGCGGCTTCTGGGCGCCCCTCGGTGCCGGGGCCTTTCCTGCGCCCCGGCCCCTCCCCGCAGCCTCGCCTCGCGGATGGCGCCCCCCGCCGGCTGGGCTTCCCCGTCCCGGGCGCTCGTCCTCCAGACCCCGGCCCGCGGGTACTTTGGTCTGGGAGCGCAGAGGGCGCCGGAACCCGGAGAGCCTGGCGGACGGCCTGGGCACCTCCCGGCTGTGCCCGGCGCGGAGTCCACTGGCAGGCTCAAAGGTCCGGGAATCCAAGGCGTACGAAGGGCCTGAGCTGGCCTGGGGGCCTGGGGAGGGACAGAGGCCCAGCCTGGGCAAAGGGGAAGCCACAGGGCCAGGAAGAGGGCAGGCAGCCCCAATGGCCTGGGCGTGCACTCCACAGGCTCCTTAACGCGGGGAGGTGGCCCCAGTGCCCTTGGGTAGGTTTGGGCAGCATTTGCAGCCTCTGGGTTTCCCCAGGGGCAGCTCCAGGGTGGGTGCTGGGCAGGGTGGTGCCCTGGTCTGGCACTGAAGCTTCTGTCTGGGTTGGCTCCTGACTCCAGCCGTAGAGGCTCCGGAAATCCTACAAGGGCAGGGTCTGCAAGGACACTCCCTTGCCCAATGGAGGGGACAGTGAATGGGAGGCCTGTGGCCCCAGCTCACGGCAGCATCAGTCAAGTCAGCTCATCCTGCTGGCCAGTGCCAGGGAGTGGGTGGGCCCAGCTTGGCAGATGAGTTTATCCTTCTTTGGGGCTGTTCAGAGGGCATCAGTTCCCTGGGGGAGGTGGGAAGCCCAGGCTTGCCTAGCTGGACCACATTCCCAAGGGCCCGGCAGGTAACAGAGGCTCCTCTGAAGACCCTGGTCTCACTTTGAACAGTCTGGTGGCACCACTCACTTCTTTGCAGCTACTCTGTTCCCACAGAGTTGCCCTCCCCCAAGCTGGAGGAAGTACCTTGTGCTTGTGTGGTTGGTTTTGGGGACAGGAAGCAACCTCTAGTGGGACTTAGCCCTGATGGTGGAGGAGGGGGGGAGGAGGAAATGCTGACATCTCCTTCCACCTGCCAGCCCCTACCTTCCAGTTCCCCAGCAAGCCCCTCTTTGGCACCCTGACAGCCTGCTTCAAGGGAGCCCCTCTGCTGAGCACAGTGAAGGGGAACTCAGAGTTGTCGCTTGCTTCCCAGGGTGGGGAGAAGTGGAACTGAAGAGGGAGGGAGGGAGTTGGTCATTTCCTCTACCCCCACTCCCAGCCCCATAGACTGGCTGCTCCATAGACTTGTCATCCCCTCTCCTCCCTTTTGCCTCTGTCCTTCCCCCTTACTCTATCCTTGGGGGACGGGTATGCTCTACCTCTCCATCTTCTCTTCCTCAGGTATGGCGCTGACTGTGGATGTCGTGGGGCCAGCACCCTGGGGCTTCCGTATCACCGGGGGCAGGGATTTCCACACACCCATCATGGTGACCAAGGTAAGGGCTAGTACCAGGAGATTGAGGTACCCCCATAATTAGGGTTGGCTCTGTTTACCTGGTCCCCACCTTTCTGTTTTTGCTCTGGAATCAGAGGTCTGCTTCTGGGAGTGCTGGTCCACGGAGGGCTAAGACCCTTGCCATGGGGATGTGGTAGCCAGGTCAGGAACAGGCTTCTGGGTAATGAAAGGGAGCTGGACCTAGAAAGAGGCCTGCTGGCTGCCAACTCCACACCTGCTGGTAGCCATTTGGGGTGGTTATGAGAACAGGAGCCCCTAGTTCTTGGCAGTTTCCTCTTGACCCAGGCCGGGACTGGGGAGCACTCACTCGGAGCTTGGAGCTGCATGGGCGGAGCTCTCTATCCAAAAGAAAGTTCAAGCACAGGTCCTGAAATTCTGTCCTCACGTTCTTTGGGAGGCCCCATTAGAATGCCAGGGAAGAAGGGGTGTGCCACTCCAGCTTTGGAGGGCATTAACTGATTAGCTGGGCAGATACCAAAGGGCAGGGAGAGAGATATTAAAGGGGGATATAGGCCAGTCTGGTTCGAACCAGTTTCTGTGTTTCTTGCCCTGTCCTCCCTCCCTACCTGAGTGTCACCACTGTTTGTCTGAGCAGGAGTCCCTCAGATTACCTGCACCTGTCCCCTACAGGTAGTGGAGCGGGGCAGGGCTGAGGCTGCTGACGTCAGGCCTGGCGACATCATCATGGCCATCAATGGGGAGAACGCACAGGGCATGCTTCATGCGGAGGCTCAGAGCAAGATCCGCCAGAGCCCCTCGCCCCTGCGGCTGCAGCTGGACCGGTAGGCCTTCTGCCTCTGCTGGGCCTGCCAGCGTTCTTCTCCCTCTGCCAATGCGCTGCATCCGCGCCCTCTCCTGCCCTCTCGGCTCATCTGTGAGGTTTGGGGCTCCCGGCCTGCAGGCCTGCAGCAGGGTGGGCTGAGGGGTGTCCTGGGTCCCGCTGGGCGTGTAGCCACAGGCAGGGCAGGCTGGCATTAGTCAGCTGGGTGCCCGGGTTTGACTGGTTCCCAAGTGTGTGGGGTACAGGGCGTGGGCATGAAGTGGGTTGAAGAGGGGAAAGGTGTGCCTTCGGCTGGGTCTCCAGGGCCTCTGCCTCCAAGAGGGCATGCCCTTTGTTCAGATAGGGACTGGGGGAGGGAGGCGAGGAGTTGGGGCTCACTCCCCGGAGAGCCCCGAGGTCCCTCCTTCCATTGTTTCTCTGGGTCCTGCTGGCGAAGGCTGCTTTCTGGCTAGTAGGGTTTGCAGCCCGGAGGCCTCAGTGGAGGGGGGGGGGGCACAGGTGCCTCCTCAGGGTGGGGCATCTTGGTGAGTCACAGGACAGGAATGCGGGGAGATTCCCCCAGCCAGGAGAGACCTTTGGGCGGGCCTTGAACCTGAATCAGGTTCCTCCTTCCTCTGTGCCGCAGCCCCCTTGCCAGGCGCTGGTGGGCCCTGACTCCGTGCCCTCTCCTGGCCCTTGCCGCCCTGCAGGGCTGTGGAGGCTGGCTCCTCCCATGACGCTCTGGCAGCACCAGCCACTTCAGTGATTCCTTCTTGCCACTGGCTTGAGAGTGTTTACAAGAATGGAGCCTAGAGAAGAGTGGGAGTGCCTCATGGCATCTGGAAAGGGGACCGAAATCTACAAGAGGCCACAGAGTGGGGCAGGGGAGGGTGGGGAGGTGGACCTGGCCCAGGCCCCCCAGGCCTCCAGCTCCATGTTGGGCAGGTCAAGGCTCCCTGTTTCTTCTTTCTTTTGCCCAGCCCTCTCTTAACCCTTCTTAAACAACACACTCCCCACCCCCAGACCTTTTAGGTACTCAGAGCCCTGCGGCAGGAAGCAGTGCTCGGGGCTGGAGCCACAGCCCGCGCTCCCCTCACTCTGACTTCGCTCCACTCCCCGAGGCTGAGGCTGGTGGACTGTGTGGTGTGAGGTTCCTGCTGACTTCTCTAGAAGTGACCAGACACCCAGGAGTGGTGTGGGGATGGGTCTTGGCAGGCACTTGTCCTCAGCCAGCTCTCGGCCCTCCAGTGACCTCTTTAAAGCCCCATCTGGCTCTACTGAGAAAGGTCTTGGAGGAGAGTCCCTGGGGGGACTGGGGTGGGGGGACCCTCACACCGACTGCCTTGGTGATTGGCTAGGGGCCTGGTCTCTGGGTCCTACAACTGCCTGCCTGGTGGGAAAGGGGACAGGACCACCCTTGTTCTGTGGAGGAGAAGTCTGTGGAGGGGACCAGAGTGACTCTCAAAGGCATTCTGGCCATTGTGATGGAGCTGTGGAGGGCAGACCTCAGACTGGGGACAGTGGGCAGCTGGCCCAGCCATCACTGGGCTTTGGGCAACTCACTTTCCATCTCTGGGCATCAGTTTCTCCAGGGGCAAAGGTACAGGGTTATCATACGAACTCACTGCTCTCCCTCCAGATCAGCCTACAAATGGATGCTGATCAGTGACAAAGTCTGGATAAAATGCCAAAAAAAAAAAAAGCATTGTGAGTGTGTGGATAGTGTGATTAGTCTTTTACAAAAAGTAAAATTAAGTTTATGGAACTTTTTGTTGAAATTATTTCTTTCTACTTTATGGTGCTGAACTGTCATTTCTTTTCTTTTTTTTTATCCTCACCCGAGGACATTTTTCCATTTTTTGTTCAGATAGAGTGGGAGGGAGAGAGAGGAAAAGAGAGAGAGAGAGAAACATCGAGGTGAAAGGGACACATCGAGTGGCTGCCACTCGCACAACCAACCAGGGCCGGGGACAAACTGCAACCGGGAACCGAACCCGGGACTCTCTGGACCACAGGCTGACACTCTAACCGTTGAGCCAAACTGGCCAGGGCTGAACTGTCATTTCTTTTAAGAAATAATGGTTGTTGGTGATAGTTGTTGGTTTTCAATTTGGCAAAGTTACAAGTTGACAACCGACTGTCTGAATATTTTGAACATTTTACTAGTTTTGAGAACCTGGCATGGGGACAGCTGAAGTCTCCAGCACCTACCAGCTAAGCAGGGTTCCAGGACCCCTGTGACACTCACCACCTCTGTCTTCTCCTCAGGTCCCGGGCGGCCTCTCCTGGGCAGACCAACGGGGAAAGCTGCATGGAGGTGCTGGCCACGCGTTTCCAGGTGGGACGGTGCCTTCCACTGGGAGCTCCGTGCCCTGAAGTGAGGGGGAGGCCTGAGGGCCAGGGCCCAAGGGTTGGGCAGACCACTCCTCACGGTCCTCCTCTCCACAGGGCTCAGTGAGGACACACACTGACAGCCAGTCCTCCCTTCGGTCCTCTTGTTCCAGCCCAGCTTCCCTCAGCCCCAGGCCATGCAGCCCCTTCTTCACTCAGCCCCCCACCAGCCCGCATGCCCTTCCTGGAGAGGCTGTGGTCAGCAGAAAGTGAGTGCAGGGGGTGGGCGCCCTGGCCGCCAGGCCCAGGCCAGGCCTCTCAAAGTCTTAATCCCTATGTTCAGGGGTCCTTGGGGGCCCCTCTGTTTCCCTGGGGCCGTTGAAGGGGGGCTTGACGCACTCACACTGCATTTTCCTCATTCAGTTTCCAGAGCCTGGCACACACCCCGGGACTCACTGCTGCTGACCGCCTGTCCTATGGAGGCCACGCAGGAAGCCGACAGGTGAGGGACTGGGGGCAGGACAGAGCCTCTCAGGCCACAGGTGCTTGATGCCCCCTGGGCAGGCTGGCCTTGTCTCTCAGCAACAGGAGGTCATCCTGTCTGCTGGTGGGTCACATGGGCTGCTCCGGCCCTGCCCCCTGGTCCCAGGTGGCCTTCCACCTCCTCACTCCCACTCGCTGCCTCCCCACTTCCTGCTGGCTTCCTCCCTTCTTGAGTGTTTCTCTTGGGCAGAGGCTGACATAGTTTTGCTGCTGTTGTTGGGATGGTTCCCTTTGGCTCTGGCTGCATCCCTTGAACACATTCCTCCCCATTCTAGCCCCATGCCTGCCCCAGCTCACCACCCATCCCCCTTCTCTTTCCTCTGGCTCAACCCAGGGAACCACCAGCAGGATTGTGGTTCCGCCTCAAGTTGCACTTGGCCCACTCTGTCTGCCTCGCCTCTCCTTCCTCCCCTGGGCTCCCACCCCAGGTCCCACTGTCCACCAGTGACAGCCCAACCTCCTGGGTAGTATCTCCTTTCTAAGGGCCAGGGTGGGGAGGTGAGGGAGTAAGGCAGCCAACAGCTCTGGGCCACAGCTGCTGGGGGCAGAGTTGGGGGGCATGTCCAGCCTTTGGGGTGAAGAGGATGAGGCCCAGCTGCTGGAATCCTAACTCTGATTGATCTGCATTCCAGAAAGCAGAGCCTTTGGGGATGGCTAGGGGAGGGTATGAGAAACGGGGGGGGGGGGGGGCAGGGGGGCAGGAGAAGGAAGGGAGACCCTCGGGGGCTGCACAGTGGGGACCCCCTGGTGGCCCACCAGGCATGCAGCATAGCGATGTGCTCCACGAGGCCCCCTCTTTCAACCATTTTAAATGTGCTGTGGAGATAAGACAAACATGTGAAAACAATTTGGGAACAATTAAGCACTAAACAGTATGGTCTTAATTATAAAAGCAGGAGGCCTTCTGGGAGGGAGGAGATGAATATGGATTGGGGTGGCCTGAGGAGGCTTTGTCCGGAATTTGCTGGAGGGTCAGGAGGTAGGACCTGGTAGGGTTTGGACAGGAGCTGAGGGCAGGGGTTGGAAAAGCAGTGGTACAAGCTTGTCCTAGGGCCATGGCTGGAGGGGACACCTGGCCTCGTTCCTTGTGGTGTCCCCAACTCAGGCAAAGGGGACATTTTGGTGGTGCAGAGAGTGGCTCTCAAACCAACAGCAGTACCTTGGAACTTGTTAGAAATGCATATTCCCAGGCCCCATCCTAGACCTATAAGTCAGACACAGGGAGTGGGGTGGGGCACCAGTCTGTTTTAAGGAGCCCTCAGGGATCAGGTGCATGGGAAAATGTGAGGACCAGCCCAGTCACCCCAGTCATGTAATAAGGAGCCCTGGGCTGAGTGGCAGGGACAGGCGGCAGAAGACGGTTAGTGCCACCTCCACTGAGTAACCTTGGATGAGCCCCTCCTCTCTCTGCTCATTCTTAGATCTGAGGCCCCTGGTTGTTCCTTCAACAAGTACTTATCGAGCAGCTGCACTGTGTCAGGCACTGTTCTAGGCTCCGGGGATGCAGTGGTGGAAAAACAGAGAAATTTCTAACCCAACTAAGTTTGCATTCTGGTCTGCAAATGAAACCGGAGTCAAAAGCAGGGGGGGTCACAGGGTCCCGTAGCTCCCCATGGGCATCACTGTGCACTTTAGCACCTTCAAGGCCCAAAGAAGTTCTAGGAAAGAGAAACATATTCATTTTATTAATTTCCTAAATGTATTTAACTGCAAATTTTCTCCTGGCCGCCCCCTATCTCTGCCACTCACTTATGAATATCCTCTGTTACCCCAGAACACATTTCGAGAGGTGTTGGCCACAGAGGGCTCTTGATGAGCAGATGAGCAGGTTTCTGGACTTGGAGAAGCAAGTCCCCCTGTGTGAAGGCAGGTGACCCATGCTGAGCTGACTGAGAGGAAAGGAGGGAGGAGGAAGGCGGGGTGCTCTGAGTGAGGGGTTAGGCCTCCCCAAGGAGTGCTGGGCTGGCGGGAGGAGGGGTGAGAAGACGGCAGACGTGCCCCTGCCCCGTCTGCTGTGGCTGTGGCTTTGCTGCTGGCTCCTGAGCAGGCTGAGGCTGCACTGAGCCTGAGGGCAGGACAGCACCGGCCCTCATGATGCCCTTCTGGAAACAGGAGGGCCCCTCCTGGGAGGCAAAAGCCTTGGTGAGCAGAGGTGAAGTGAGAGCCGCACCTCTGCTTCTGGTTGGCATGAGGACTTGGCTTCTGAAGGAACCTGGGCCAGATTTCAGCCCTCCCTCCCCCCTGGCCAGTGCCCCTCTGTGGGGCACGTGCTGGCCCCTCTGGGCCTGTGAGATGGGACAGCGATCTTGAGTAACTAGCTGGTGCTGGCCATCAATCCTGAGAAAATGTTCTCACCATCCTTCTGTTGACCACACAGCACCAGGTGGGCACTCGGGATCTGCGGTGTGGACTCCCAGCCCTGCCGCCGACACCAGCTGCCCTTCTGACCCTCAGTCTCCTGACCTGTAGAACGTTTCCCCACGGGGAATGCAGGCTGGCGTGGGAGCAGCCTGAGGGTCTAGTGCTGCCTTCTGAAGACTCTGTGTTTCCACTTTTAGCGTAGGAACTCATGCAGTGTTTTCATTTAACCCATAATTCGTTCTGACTTTGAATTTTAAGACTGAGGGCATTCGGCTTTCCGGGAAACTGCCCTCAGCACCGGCCGCCAGGGTCTCCGAGGCTCCCCTTTGCGTGGGGATGGGCAGAGGGGAGGGTGTGGAGGCAGGCAGCAGAACACGAGGTGGAAGGGAGCTGTCCAGGTGGAGAGCAGGTGTGAGAGCCTGAAAAGGACAGTGCACCTGGGCAGGGGGCAGGGGGCTGGGCTGTGGGCCCAGAAAGGGCCTGGATCTTCAAGGCTGCGAGGGGCAGGACCAGACCTCCCAGAGCAGCCTAGAGAGGCTGATCAGCCCAGACCCTGGCCCTCCCAGGAGGGGGACCAGTATGTGTGGGAGAGGGGCCCTTTGTGCAGCTCCAGCCCTACTCTCAGAGGGGTCTTGGCCCCTTCACTTCTGTCGTGCCTGGCAAAAGGGGTGGCTTCTTTGCTTCTTCTGTCAGAGGAGTCAGGCCCCAATATGCAACATTTTTCCAAACACATGGCCTGAGACAAAAGGAATTTGCATTTTGTCTGAACTTAGCTCATTGTCACCCCTCGCTTCACCCTGCCCCTCCCGCCCAGTCCCCTTGCGGAAGCCTTACACCTCCCCAGCTGGCGCTGCCTCTCCCCTCGGACTGAGCAGGCGCAGTCCCTGGTGCCCTGGCTCTCAGAGAAAGTCGGGGTGATGGTTCCTGTGCAGGGGGACAAGGAAGGGGACTGCCTGGTCATGGAGGGCTGGGAGCCCTCTGGTGTTGGGCCTGGGAACCGCTGGCCTTGGCGCCGGTGGGTGTGCGGGCCGAAGGCTCCAGAGCTGACTCCTCCCAGGCGCCTCTCCCACAGGCTGGCTGGGGCCTTGCTGGCGACTCAGCTGTGCTGGTGCTGCCGCTTTCCCCGGGGCCCAGTTCCTCCAGCTCCAGACTCAGGTACCAGTGGGCCTTGGCGGGTGGGGTGGGATCTTGGAGGGCTGGGAGGGACAGGAGACCGACTGGCTTCTTGTAAGAGGGAGGGGCTGGGGTACCTGCCTCTCTGAGCCCAAGCAGTTTCCCCTGGCCCCCAGAATCCTTTCCTCCTGGGACACCCATTCCCTGTGCCCATGCATGTCCTGACACTCACACTGGACCCTCACTCCTCACTGCCTCCATCCCCACAGTGTGGACTCGGAAAGGGGAAGCCACCTCCTGGGAGAGGACTCAGAAGTCTTCAAGATGCTGCAGGAAAATCGTGAGGGACGGGTGGCCCCTCGGCAGTCCAGCTCCTTTAGACTCTTGCAGGAAGCCCTGGAGGCCGAGGAGAGAGGTGAGATCCAGGGTGGGGAGGGAGGGGGTTGTTGGTGGTGATGGTGGTTCAGGTAGGGGAAGGAGATTCCCAGGTCATCCCTGGACCCTGAGTGGCCATGTTATTGAACTAGTAATTCTTTTTTTCAATCCTCACCCGAGGATATTTTTTCATTTTTCTTCAGAGAGAGTGGGAAGGAAGGAGAGAGAGGGAAACATCAAAGTGAGAGAGATACATCTACTGGTTGCCTCCCCCATGACACTGACCAGGGCCGGGGACCAATGGACCAAGGTACATGCCCTTGACCAGAATTGAACCTGTGACTCATTGGTCTTCAGGCTGAGCCAAACAGGCCAGGGCTCCATTGGTTTTTTTAGATAGAGTGGAAGGGAGGGAGGGAGAGAGAGAGAGAAACAATCACGTGAGAGAGACACATTGACTGATTGCCTCCCCTATGACCCCCACCAGGGCCAGGGATTGAACCTGCAGGTACGTGCTCTTGACCGGAATTGAACCTACAACCCTTCGGTCTGCAGGCCGTCGCTCTATCCACTGAGCCAAACCAGCCAGGGCTTGAACTAGTCATTCTTTTTTTTAACACTTTAAAAAAAAATCCTCACCCAAGGATATTTTTCCATTGATTTTCAGATGGGGGTGGGGTGGAAAGGAGGGAGGGGGGGGAGAGAGAGAGAGAGAGAGAGAGAGAGAGAGAGAGAGAGAGAGAAACATCGATGTGAGAAAGATATATTGATTGGTTGTCTCCCACAGGACCCTGACCAGGGCTCAGGATCCAACCATAACTGAGGCATGTATCCTTGACTGAAATCGAACCCATGACCCTTTGGTCTGCAGGCCAATGCTCTAACCACTGAGCAAAACCTCCAGGGCTGAAGTAGTAAATCTTTTATATATATGTATATTTTTTTATATTTTATTCCTCACTGGAGGATATTTTTCCATTTATCATTAGATAGAGTGGGAAAGAGAAAGAGAGGGAGAAATATCGATGACATAGAGCCACATGGACTGGTTGCCTCAGGCACTACCCTGACCAGGGCTGGGAGGAACAGCAACACAGGTACGTGCCCTTGACTGGAATTGAACCCGCAAAGCTTTGGTCTGTGGGCTGACGCTCCAGCCGCAAGCCACACCGGCCGGCTGATCTAGTAATTCTTATGGACTCACCGGGTGCAGGTGCCAGGGGGCACTGAAACCACAGGCCCTGCACTGAAGCAGCTTACAGTCTGGTGGGTACCAGGGGTGCGCTCAGAGGTCCCGACTGGGCCAGGAAAGTGCCAAGGGAACAATGGAGGTGGGCAGTGGGGTCTCCAGGGAGGGCTTCGTGGAGGAAGAGGGTTTGACATGGCCCCTGGAGAAAGATGGAGCTTTTACTAAATAGCCTTCGACAGTGGCAGGCAGACTGGGATGTGAGGCTGGGAGCCAGAGGGCTTTTGGGTGTGGGAGCAGAGAACAGCAGGTGGGAGGGTGGCTGTGGAAGTTAAATCCTGGCTGTGAGGCCTGAGTGTCAGGCTTGAGTGGCCTAACCCAGGAGGGCCAGGTAGGTGATGCCAGGCAGTGCCTGAGATGCTGAGCGAACAGTACAGACGGTTTGGGCTCTGGGCACGAACAATCACTGTGTCCCTGGGGGACTGGCCTAGTGCGGAGTGTGGAGATGAAAGGTGGTCAGAACCCACTGTCTGTCCAGGAGGAACTCTTATTTATTGGGGCTGACTGGCCTGCCTAGTTCCCAAGGAATTGGACGCTGCTGCAAGAGTTTTTTTTTTTTTTTATCCTCACCCGAGGACATTTTCCCATTTTTTTGTTCAGGTAGAGTGGGAGGGAGAGAGAGGAATGGAGAGAGAGAGAGAAACATCGATGTGAAAGGACCACATCGAGTGGCTGCCACCCGCACGACCGACCAGGGCCGGGGACAAACTGCAACCGAGGTACATGCCCTTAGCGGGAACCGAACCTGGGTCTCTCAGGACCGCAGGTCGACGCTCCAACTGCTGAGCCAAACCGGCCAGGGTTGCAAGAGTTTTTTGTAAAAATACGTTTTTATTGATTTTTTTTAAAGAGAGGGGAAGGGAAAGAGAGATAGAAACGTCAATGCAAGAGAGAAACATTGATCAGCTGCCTCCTGCATGTCCCCTACTGGGGATCGAGCCCGCAACCTGGGCGTGTTCCCTGACTGGGAATTGAACCGGGACCTCTAAGTCCATGTGACAACACTCAATCCATTGAGCCACACCTGTCAGGCATGCTGCAGGAGTTTTTGGTGGGGGCAAGGCACTACCCTGGTTTAGGATAGAGATCGGGAGGCCTGGCCTGGGCAGTGGCATCAGGGAGTGAGGATGGTCAGGAGAAGTATGTCGGTGGTAGAATCACTAAAACCTGGTTCCAACTCTGATGTCTGTCTCCTAGGGATCTTCCGTGGCAGGGGTTGGGGTGGGAAAGCTTGGAGCCAGTCATGGACCCTGAGGCCTTGGTGGGCCCTTGGGGGGGGGGGGCAGGGAGAGGCAGGCAGGGGTAAGGAGAGTGCAGACAAACGGTGACATCCCAATGGGGTCTCCACAGCATCAGTTGCAAACCAGGCCCATACCGGCCTCAAAACATCTGTGCTTCATCTGAGGCTCAGAGGCATAATGTGCATAAGATCCCTTTGAAAACGGTACAAAGGCATCCTGGTGCTGTTATTACCTATTATTACTGTCTATTAATATCATCATGATGGGGCCACACCAAGGGAAATGTCTGCTTGGCCTGCTGTGTCAGACACGGAACACAGTCACTCCCCGGCTTATTGCCTTAGCTCAAGCTCATGGCCTCCACTGTGCTTCCTGCACTCGCCCAGCCTCAGCCAAGGACCTGGCGGGATCTCTTCCTTCCTCTGTTCCCCCCAGAGGCTGCCTGTCAGTGCGCCTGTCAGTGTGAGTGTCCTTGGAGCGTGTTGGAGCAGGTGGAGTGTTTATAAATAAATACAGCCTGGATGCTGCTGTGGTGGACAAGCTCTGATGTGTCTGTCTGCCCTCCCCCTTCCCAGGTGGCACACCTGCCTTCCTGCCCAGCTCGCTGAGCCCGCAGTCCTCTCTGCCCACCTCCAGAGCCCTGGCCACCCCACCCAAGCTCCACACGTGTGAGAAGTGCAGCACCAGCATTGCGTGAGTGTTGCCAGCCTGGGAGGCAGGGTAGGGGGCAGGGCACAGGGTGCTGCCCAGAGGGGCCTGCGTAGAACAACCAGTCAGGGGCCCTTGAGAGGTGTATTACAAAATGGATTCGTGAGACATTCTATGGGTCATTGTCAGCCTTCTTAGAAGGCCCACACTGGCTTCTTTCTGTTGTGTCCCCTCCTCCCCGATTCTCCCACCCTCCACCTTGGTGGAGTAAGACATGCCACTGCTTTTGATTTCTCTCCAATAATCTTTCAACCTCTGGAGATCTGCCTCTAGATGAGGTGCCTCCTCCTGGAAAATCTTGCTCTTACCCCTCCTGTACCTCTGTTGGAACAGGATGCATTTTCCAGAGGTAGGTTCGTTTTTCTCAGTGGGTGGCATTGTAATGCTGCCACAGTGTCTGGAAAATTGCTGAAAGGCTCTCCTGGGAAGTCTTCTGTGCACAGTGTGGAGGGTCAGATGACTCACCCTAGCAAATCCCTTCTGCTCCCTGGGCCTCAGCGTTTCATCTGCAGAATGCCCCCCCCCCCCCCGCTGAGCTCCAGGAGGAATGTGTCCTACCTGGTGATTCCCAGAGAGCACAGCAGAGCTTCCCAAGTTTGTCAGAACATTCCTGAGCTGGCACCCTGAGAGCTTCCTCTTCAGGAGGCCCTGGCCCCAGAATTTGCATTTCCAGCTTGTCCCCAGGCGATGTGATGCTGCTGGTCCTAGCATCCGTGACCATACCGTGAGAACCACTGCCCCATTAACAATCCAGAAGATTCAGGATGGAGTTTATCTGCCTTTTGTGGGGAATGACTCTTTTGGGGGGATTAGGGACCCTGGGGGTGGGGGCTGGGGGTTGCTGAAGTGAGATTCCTGAGAGCAGGCTTTGGGAGTCAAGTGTCTGAGGTTTGGGGATCTTCCCAGGTCCTGCCTCTGGGCTCTGGGGCATGGTGCCTGGTGCTCCAGTTTTCCACCCCCCGGGGTAACGGCTTCCCCCTCCTTCCCACAGGAACCAGGCCGTGCGCATCCAGGAGGGGCGGTACCGCCACCCTGGCTGCTACACCTGTGCAGACTGTGGGCTGAACCTGAAGATGCGTGGGCACTTTTGGGTGGGGGATGAGCTGTACTGCGAGAAGCATGCCCGCCAGCGATATTCAGCGCCCCAAACCCTCAACTTCCAGGCCTGAGCGCGGGCTGTGCTCAGCCTGCCCGTGACTCTGCGAGCACCCCCTTGCCAGGGCCATGCCGATAGCAAGTTGGCATGGAAGGGGATGGTGGGTGATGGGGCCTCTTCCTCCTCGCTAGGTGAGGCCAGAGGCTGGAGTCTGTCTTGGCTGTAGGTGAGGGCAGCCTCACCTCCTCAGGCCTTTGGTAGATACTTCCCCCTGTTAGACAGGCTGCACCAAAGTCTGAGGTGGACTTCGCATCAGACATCTTTGAGCAACAGGGGTTAAGTAGGTGCGGCCATGGACATTAGTATCTAGGAGAGGGGCGGGCCAGAGGCTAAGGTATTCACTGTGTAAAGTTTCTGACTTGTGAGCTCAATAAAAAATATATATATATATATATATATACACACACACACACACACATACACAAAATAAAGTAGCTGCCGTTCTTTCCTGTCCTTTCCTGCCCTGGCTCCCTCCTACCACTGGGTGGAGAGGCTTTATTCACATATTTTCTTCCCTCTTATTTCCCCTCCTGCAACCCCTCTCCCTACCAGCTAATGAAGACGCTTGTTTCTTTTTGCTGAGGGTCCTGCTCTTCCTGGACCCTTTTGTAAAGATGCCTATTTTACTGGGATGATCCCTGGTAGTTCACAGGAATGAGTTTCTCAGTGGGAGCCTGGGGAGGGGAAGGGATGGTGGAGGGTGGGCAGCAGAGATACAGGAGGCCACCCCAGGCCCATTCATCCCAATGACTGTCCCCTACTCTGCCACCACTGGCTGGGCTGGCACTCTCTGTGCCCTTAGCTCCACTTGGTGTGGATGCTACCAGTCCTGCTGATGAACCCAGAAGGTGGGCAGAGAGAGGCAATATACAAAGTACCCCCTGCATTCTCTGAGGCTGTCTGCACCCCTTTGAGAAACAATCACCAGAATCACTCTCGGCTGCAAGTTAGCCTTGCCTGGAGGGGGACAACCCAGAAGAGCCCCCACTCTGAGGGACCATCACCCACCAAGGGCCTCTCCTCCAAGCCAGGGTTGGTCTCCCTGCCCCTTTCCCTGGGAGACCCTGCTGGCTTCATTGGTGGTTGATTTTAGGGGGGATATATATAATGCTAGCATGCCTGCCCCGGAGGTGCATGTTTGCACTGAGGCAGGGGGTGGTGAATCAAGCCAAAAATCTGGATTGGACCACTGCCCTCCCCCCCTTCTAATCCCAAAGGACATTTCAGAAATGGGCATGGGCACTGCTGGGTGCTCCAGACTCACCCTGCCCCCAAGTCAGCTGGAGGAATGGGCAGCAGCTACAGCTTTTTTTTTTTTTTTTTCACTGAAAAGATCAAAGCTGGGCTTCAGAGGGTGCATTGTGCTATCTGGTTCTTTTTGGAAGGAATCTTGGCAGAGACTGTGTTGCCTCTTCAGGCACCTGTTGATATAATTTACACCTTGATATAACTGTCTCACCTCTTCTTACCTGGATGGCTGCCTTTATTTTCATATGAAAGATCAAGGCTTTCTGTGGCTCAGGAGTTCGTCTGGCCAGAACGTCTGGTCTGAAATGAGATACTTACCTTCACGCCACCTAGTGTCAGGTGTAGCCTGTGGCAAGGGAGGGTGCTCACTCACAAAAGCGGAATTCACCCTCTGGAAATACTTGGGTTCTGGCAAAGTGGGAATATAGAAAGATCTAGCATTTTTCTTGCTTTCCTGAAGATAACAGTCAAGTAGTAGCAACTGAGTGGCATGAATGAAATAATGCTATGTGCGGGGTGCTTTAAGAGCTCCCGTGGAACACAGGTGCCTGGGGAGTTTAGAGCAGGGCCATCTGTGTGAAAGGATGAACAGGACTAGGACAGCTGGAGGAGAGAAATGCCGAGTGATGGGGGCAAGTGCAAGGGGAATGCTCAGCTTAGGGCAGTGGCTGAAGGGGATACTGAGATGAGATTGTGAAGGGAAATGGGAGCCTTGAATGCCAGGAGAAATGGTTTGAACTTCACCTTGAGGCTCTTGGAATACTTGGAAAATTTAAAGCAAGGAATTGACAAATTGGAACAGGTGGGCTGGAATATTAATCTGGTGAGATCCTTGTCTGTAACAAATCATGCTGGGCCGGCAGTGTACTCAGGAGTGCAGGCCCTTGTGAAATGGGTATGCCTGTGAGTTGTTGACTGCCTTTCAAAGGCTGGAGGAGTTCAAGGTAACATCTACCTCTTTAATTGTGGCAGCCAGTTCTCCTACCAGGGGCTCCAGGGTTTCAGTTTCAGAGCTCTCTGCATCCACACAGACAGCCTGAGCTTGGGAGACAACTTCTTTGGAAGACATAGTTATAGCCAAACCCATTTGTCAGCAGAGAAGGCTGGAGTTGACCTCAACCCCAAGTGTGTACACCCCTCCCCCCCACACAAGGTATTCTGATCCCCATGAGGGCTCTGGCATATCTGCATGGTGGGGGGAGACATGGCCTGGAGTGGTGTGCATTGGGGTGTTGTATGGGGGGGTTCTTTTGAGGTCACACAAAGCCTTGTGCTGAGACAGTGCATTCCTGCTGGCTGGCTTCCTGTTTCAGATGCTTTCCTGACCCAGAGTCACCAAGGAGACTGCTGCTAGGAATTTGGCCCCACATTCTCCAAATTCGGGAGATCTGGCAAAGTTTCCTCCCTTATTTCCCACCTTCTCACTTTGGAGGGAGGAAGCCACCTGACTGACTGACAAGCCCTCCTGCACTCCTACCCAGGGAGGGAAGTTGTGGGGTCTGGCAAGGCCTGGGGGTATGGTACCACACATCCTGTTCTATTTGCATAAAGCAGTTCCTCCCAGGCCCAGCGGTGTTTCCCTCTCGGTATCTGAGAGAGAGGAATGGGGCAGGGCTGTTGTCCAGGATAGGGCCAGAAGGAGGCAACTCAGAGGACCCATGGCTAGTGGGGAAGGACTTGCTTGGCCTGAAAATCAGGTGTTAAGAATGGCCAGTAATTCAAGCACTTGGCTGTAGGCCCGTTTCATGATCTTATAAAGTTAAAATCTGGTAGTTTGTGGTTCTCTGATAAAGGCTCCTGCATAGGGTGTTTGGGAAAGGGTGGGAAGGTACAAGGAGCAGAAGAGGTGGGCAAACATCTCCTCCTTCTCAGTTAACAGCCACTTCCTCAGAGGCCCAGGTGCAGGTTTTCGCCATACCAGCCCCCGTCTGCTTCCAGAAGATTTGGGTCCTGCTGGGATTTTCCCAGCCAGATCACTTTCCTTAGGAGGATGAGGTTTCCTCGGAGACCACCAGCCCACCTAGTCACCAGGCTGTCTCACTTTCAGCAGCTGCCTGGGCTCCCAGCCCCCTTTCAAGCCCTGGGGTGAGGGTGGTGGGGTAGTAGTGTTGGGATCCCAAGGGGCAAAACAGGGCTGGGGTGGGGACAGGGAAGCACCGCCCCAGGCTGCTCCCCTGTGTCCCTGGCTCACTTCTTCCCCAGTTCTGAAGTCCCACCCAGCCCCCAGCTTTAGGGTCCCCGGGTGAAGAACCGGTGTGGGACCAGGAGGGATTCGAAGCTAACCCGGGACCCAAGGCACTCTGCAGCTGTTGGAAAGGATTTCCTTCCGGGCAGAAATCATTGCCCCCATTTTATTGCACCAGTTTCTGAGCGGCGGTGTGACTTGCTCCAGGCACACAGCTGGCAGCGCAGAGGCGTCCGCGTCCCGGTCAGCGGCCTTCCTACCGCCAGCACACGGGGCTCCATTTCCTTCCGCGCTCCGGTCCGGCCCCCGCCCGCCGGCTTCATTTCGGCGGCAGGAAAGCAGACTCTGCGTGTGACCTGGAGGCGGAGTGACCCTGTGCGGCGAGCTACTCGGAGCCACGAGTCTGAGGGCGACCCCAGGCGGGGGGGCTCCGCGCCTGGGCCGGGCGGGAGCGCGGGGCTGCCCGGCCTGAAGGACAGGGGACCTGGGTCCTTCTCGCCCCCACCGCGCTCGGGCCCGCGTGCAGCCCCGCTGCCCTCACACCGCGCCCCTCCTCCGCCCGCCCCACTCCTCCCGCGCCGGGCGGTCAGGACGCGCCAGCAAGGCCGCCCGTGCGACAGCGGCTGGGGACGCGGCGGGCGGGGCGGCGCGGGGCCGCGCCGGGCCGGCGGCGCGTCCTCGCCGTGGAGCCGCTCGGCGGCCCGGGTGAGTCGCCCACCCACGGGCGGGCAGAGCCTCCCGCCCCAGCGCCGACTCCGGAGCCCGGACTCCCGTCTGCGCCCCGCCTCGCCGCGCCTGCCTCGTGGCCTCCCTGTGGAAGGGTCGGGCGACGACTGAGCCTTGCACAGGGAAACCCTCTGAGTTTGGGCGTTAAACCTGCCACTGCCTCCATCCCACTTCCTCCGTGCCCACTTCCCTCTAAAAGGATCCGGGTCCTTTTCCGCGGGTCCCTGCCCCTGCTCGCATTTCTGAAAGCTCCCTCGGCGGCCAGGGACGGTCCCACCGGTGCCGCGGGGCGGGCTTCGTGGCCAACTTCCTCCCCAGGAGGCGTGGCTTGGCTGCTGGCTCCGCGTGTCGGGCGGGAGATGTGGCTAGTCCTCCACCCTCTCCAGGATCAGTTTCTGCATCATTCGTAACAACTGGGGCACCCAGATCATGGGAGGGCGTGGCACCGAGGTGATAGTTAATGGGTGACAAGGCTACGTCTCCTCCTACCCCCCAGTTCCATTTTTTTTCTTTTCAACTCTCCACAAAATCTTCACTATTTCTCACTTAAAGGAACAAAAGCCCCAAATGGTTACAGATATTGTTATTTTTAATTACCCTCCCCCAGGAGCGACTTCATCCAGCATCCCGAGGCCAGATGCACTCTAGGCTTCCCCCTTTGTCCCCTTCCCCTCCTCCCGGAGACGGATGCACAGTCATACTCCCTCTTGGGGAGCAATGGAAGAGGCTTCAGCTCCCCACTTATGACTCGGAGGTCACAGGCAGCCCCAAGGGGAAGGAGTGCAAGGGCTTCCAGGGGGAAAGCACCCACCTCCTCCAAGGAAGATAGGCCATCCCAGGAGCGGGTGAAAAGGAAATCCTTTCCAACTGCCTACCACACAGCCCACACCATGGGTGTGATCACTAACAGTTACTGTTGTGAGGAGAATTACAAGTACACTGAAAATCTCCTGGGCAGGGCTGGAGAGAGAGATCCAGGTAGGGCGGTGGCTGTCCGGGCTCCTCCCCTCATCTCTGGCCCAGGACACTCCTCCTCTGGGAGTGCTTTCAGCTGCCAGGAATGCTGGGGGTGGTGGGGGCAGCCTGCCCAACCTGAATCACTCTCCTTGCAGATGGGGCTGGTGAGAACCTGGCCCACGGTTGTGTAGTGCCTGAAGTCACCAGCACCTACAGACGGATCCCTGACACCTCTCAGGAGTGCTCATTGGACTCCTGGGAGGCGGATGTCGAGCTGAAAGGTCCCTGGAGGCAGGTACCACTTCTCAAACTGGCCTTCTTGGACTCAGGAGTGGAGATGGCAGTTGGGGACAGCTCCCTGGCCACCTCGCTGGGCCCTTCTCAGGAGTCTCTGGACTGTGAGCCTATGGGGAGCCCTGAGCCCCTGGTCCTGCCCATGGAGCCTTCTGCCCATCTGGGTTGGCTCCTGGCCAGCCAGAAGCTTGAGCAGGTGCTGGGGCGGTCCAGCCAGTTCCTGACTTCTCCTACCAGCTTGTCACAACACCATCGCTCCCTGAAGCCTACAAGGAAGCCTGGATATGAAATGCTCCTTTTTGGAGCAAGTGAGCAAGAGGCCACCAAAGTAGAAACTGACTTAGAGGCAGGCCTGGATGAAGCAGAGGTGGTGAGTGGGAACTCCCAGGCTGGATGTAGAGTGGGATGGAGATGGCCTTTGCACAGGGGGGCTGGCGGGCCCCCCCAATTGTTCTCCCTAGAGCTTTCCTGAGGTGGGGCATTTCTGTCCCTAATTGATGGGTTGTGTCACAGCTTCTTGCCTCACTTCACTCCCAGCTGTGTGGAGGTGGGCAGGTATGAGGTTTGCCTGGCAACATGGCTGGCTGGGCACTGGGAGGCCAGCTTGGTGCATGATCCTCCTTTCCTTGTCCGTTCTGTCCCCATCTGATGGCTGCTGAAGGTGGGAGTCTGGTTGGGTTCAAGTCTCCCCTACCTTATTCTGTCCCATAGGTGAGGGGAGTGGGGCCTGAAGCCTGGGCCTGCCTCCCAGGACAGGGTCTTCGCTACTTGGAACACCTGTGCCTAGTGCTGGAGCAGATGGCAAGACTCCAGCAGCTCCACCGGCAGCTGCAGACCCAGACGCCCGCCGGGGTGAGTGAGCCATGCTGCGGGCAAGTGAGTGGGGGAGACATAGGAGAGGTGGAACCTCTGGTACCAGGGTTTCCTTCAGAATAGCCTAAATCTCTGCTCTGGCCCTACGTGCCTTTCTCTCCTGTGCACAGGACCCTGTAGCGGAGGAGGAGTTGACTCTGGCCCCTTCACCTCCACCGTCTCATGCCCCAGGCAGTGAGGTGCGAAGGTCATGGGAACTGCTCAGCCAGACAAAGGAGACAGGTTTGGGGCAATTGTGTCTCCCTCTGTGTTCTGCCTGCCTTGGGCCCCAGGCAGACCCCCTGAGCCCTGGGCTTGATGGGTGTGTTCCTGTTTCTGGGTAACCTGATTCTCTCTCTGAAGGTGCAAACAGAGCTTCACTCCCAAAGGTAGGGGTGCCCAGTGCCAACTCTTCCAGGCTAACAGAGGCTCCAGCAGAGCCAGCTCACACCTTTCAATCCTCCCAGAGTCACATGGTAGGTGATATATGTGTGGGGCAGGTGACAGGTAGGGGTGGGGTGGTTGGCATGGGTGGATACCCTAAAGGCCAGAAACTTTGGGAAAATGAAAGGATTCCTGTTCGGAGCAGGTGACGTCTCCGGCTGTAGTGACAACTGTCTCTGCTAGTATGGGGTATGTTGTGGGGTGGGGCTCTGTGGTGACCCCTTCACCCTCTGCTCAGCGGGACCTCTCCCACTGGAACAAGGTCAAGGTCCTTCTCAATCAGATTCGCTGGAAGAGCCCTCAACACCCTGAGCCCCCTTCCCCTCCTGATGGCCCTGCTTCCGGTGAGTACCTGGCCTAGCCCAGGTTAGAGCACAGGGAGGAGCCTGATGAACCAGGGTGCTGAGATTGTCCTCCTAGTTCTCCTTGTCCCTATGAAATCTGAGTGACATAGACAGTCTTGGAGAGGGTGCTGGAAGAAACAGAAAGTAGTTAAAACTCCCCATTGATAGGTGAAGAGACTGGGGACCGAGGTGGGAGGGGAGCTGCTTTCCTGAGGCCACATGCAGATTCAGTGGCAGAGCCAGTACCAGAATATGGGAATCTCCTTATGACATCCTAGCAAGTTCTCAACTCTCAAAGCTGAAACATAGGGCAAGCAAGATGGCATGGACAAAGGATTCCACAGTGGATGATGGGTTGGCAGTTATACTAAATCATTCTCCAGGGGGAAGAAGCACCATGTCAGTTACCATCCTCAGGCTCCCCACAGCAGATAAGCAATGCTGATTCACTCTGGGGCCATTTGTTACCTTTGTTTCCTTCTCCTAGCATAAGGCCACTTTTTTTTTTCTCACAGGATTAAGTCAAGGGACCTCCCTAAAAGACCTCCATGCCGCCCCCTCTGGAAGACCTTTATGCCATCATTAGTGGTGAAGAAACAACGAGCAAAAAACCTTTCTGTCTCTTGAGAGCTCCTAATGCTGGACATGACCCTGGGTGGAGGTGTATACAGTGAACTCTTCTTTGCCCTTTGCCCTGTTGATGTTTTTGGGTACTGCCAGGAAAAGTTGCTGATGCTCGTCCTTCTGTCTGAGGCGAGGGCTGAGTCTTTCTCCTTTGATCAGCTTGACAGAGGAGCCCTGGTTCCCTGAGAGACCCCAAGGTGTGGCAGCTCCTGGCCACCTCTCTGGCTCCAGAAATCCCTGAGATTGGACAATGTGAACTAATTTATCAGGCATCCTTGGAGCATTTTTGGCATGGTGATCTGTTGGGGCCCAGTGTGTTGCAGATGTGTATATATGCAAAATGATTTATACATGTATCTCTGTGAGACTGTCACTGTTGTGAACTGACTGGATCCAACCATCTCTCCTGAATCACACACTCAAAAGGTTGGTCTTCTGAGTGAGGTAATTGCAGAAGGATGGAACTGAACTTCATTCCTCAGTGGACAGTTACTGATCCTGGAGCCCTGCTTTCCTCCTCATACCTGTATGGGAAGCCCCAGGACAGAGGAGGGCACTATATTGGGTGTCTCTGCACTGAGTCTTGCCCATGGAGCAGAGTCCCTGAAGACTGTACCAGGAAGGGGAAGGTTAGGGAAAACAGGAGGAATAGGAGAGTAACCTTCAAGTGTCTTCTTAGCTGCTTTCCTCCCTGCTAGCCTTTACGCATCAGAGCTGAAACCAGAGGCCCATACTAGCTTTTATATTTGACACAATCCCTTAACTTGACTGAGCCATAGCTTCCTACATAGTCTCCCAAATGGTATAATGATACCTGACCTACCTACCTCACAGGCTTGTTTTGAGGATAAAATGAGATTAAACTGTCCCAAAGAGCTTTGTGAATGTTACATGAATAGGGAAGGGGAGGGTATGGGTGTTGGAGGTCAGGTAGACTGGAGGGATGAAGAGAAGGACGGGAGATAGGTGGGACTGGAATTGGTAATGGGGACTAAAATGGCCAATGATTAGCAGCAATACTTTGAGTAAATCATTTCATTGAGATCTGTTAGATTTCATATCTGAGAATTATGGCACGAATTCCTGACTTGCTTACACCCAGCATTGTTGTGAGGATTAAGGGCAAAGCTCATGAAAACTCTTTGTAGCCCTGGCCGGTTTTGTTCAGTGATTAGAGCGTCAGGCTGTGGTCCAGAGAGACCAGGGTTCGGTTCCCGCTAAGGGTGCATACCTCGGTTGTGGTTTGTCCCCGGCCCTGGTTGGGTCGTATGGGTGGCAACCACTCGATGTGTCCCTTTCACGTCGATGTTTCTCTCTCTGTCTCTCTCCCTCCCACTCTATCTGAACAAAAATGGAAAAATGTCCTCAGGTGAGGATAAAAAAAAAAAAAGTAGAGAACTCTTTGTAAATGTCTACCTAATACTGTGGTGGTTTATCTTACTATAACCTGTCAGATACCTAGCTCTTTGTTGATTGAGAAAGGGGAAAAGCTTAGTCTGCAGATACCAGTAGCTAGATGGGAGGTGTGTATGTATTGCCCTCAGTGGAAGGGCAGGACTGGGGATGGGGTCACTGGTTTGAGTCAGACATGGGAATGCCTTTTAGAAATGGCAACTGACCAAGCATCGAGTCAGGAGGGTTTGGTTCTCTTGTGGCTGCAATCTTGGGATCTGCCAGAATGAGGCAAGTTGGGGTGCCTCCTTAGGTTTGGGGTCCAACTCCAGCTCTCTTTGGACAAAGGACCAATTCTCTGAAGCTCATTTTTCTAATGGGACACTTAAGCGAGGACACCTCTCAGGCGCGGCTTCTTAACGCGCATCCGATCGGGGAAGGCGTACTTCCGCTCCCGTCCTGGAGCGGGACGGCAGGCCGGCGTGGGGGAACGGAGAGGTCGGTGGAGCGGAGGGAGGGACTATATCCGGGAGAGTGGCAGCTTCCGACCAGTGGTCGCGCTTCCGGAGAGGCGCTTCCGGTGGCGGCGGCAGCAGCGGCTGTGGTGGTTCCGGGTGTCTTTGTCCCCCCGCTGTCGCGGCCCTGGCCCGCAGGTGTGTCGGCTGGCCCCCGCCGCCCTTCTGCCCCTTTGCTCCTTCCCCAGCCGGGGGGTTGCGAGGGCCGGGCAGCTAAGATGCACTGGGCGCGGAAGGGGCCGAGCCCCCCTCGGACTGCAAGTCCCGTCTCCCTGGCAACGGCCTCAGCCCTGGGGGCGGGGGGAGAAACCGCGCTCCTCGGCCCTCCCACGGTGGCTTGGCTGCGGCCCGGCCTGGCCCGGCCGGGGCGATCCGGCACCAGGGCCCCTGAGGCAGGAGCGAAGGGCCGGAGAGCGCGGGAGCGAGAGGGCGGGCGCGCAGCGGGATTCGCGGTTGCCCGGGCCATACAGCTACCTGCCATCCAGCCGGGCCGGGGGACAACGGGCCGGGCTTCCGGGGAGAGACCCACACGATCTGCTCTCCCGCAGCAGCCTCCATTTTTTCTGGGCCTTGCGTGGAACATTTTGGCAGATGTATTTGAATGAATGAATGTCTCCGGGTTTTTTTTCAGTTCCCCTACCCCCCCAGCCATCCAGGGTGGCGTGGCATAGTGAGAGGAGCGCTAAATTGTCGGGATACCTGGGTGTGAGTCCCAGTTTTGTCACTGCTTGTATGGTCTCGGGCAAGTCTCAATCTCTGAGCTTCAGTTGGCTTTTCTTTAAAATAGCTTGGCAGTATCATCCACCTAGGTTATTTGTGAGGACAAACTGGAGCAATAATTTCTTCATTTTCTGCTACTCTTGGTATTCTCTTCTCATCCATTGTCTCCATTCATTCTCTCTACTCTCCTCAAGATACTTAGTTCCTGTTTTGGGGTTGATGGAAAATTCCCCAATGAGATGTTAACTTATTTCTTTTCTGATTGAAGGTTTTTTCCCCAAGACTCTGAAAGAAGACGGCAATCCTAATGTCACAGTTTAAGCGCCAGCGCATCAACCCACTTCCAGGGGGACGCAACTTCTCAGGTGATCACCTTTATCCCTACCTGGGCTCATACTGGAAAGTATGTGCTTTGAGTTAGTCTTTAAAAGTATGGCTTTTGGGTTTTCTCTGGTGGAGTGCAGTTTGCTGCCGATGTTGCTTAGGAAAATAGGAGCTGACCACAGTGGTTGCCAGTGAAACCACGTGGAGTTGTTGTTTGGAGCCACTTTGCCTTTTGGGTTTGCCATATCCTGTAGTTAAGTGATTTCAGCCGGGCGCTGTGGCTGGCACACTGGTGTGCTGCAGGAATTTTTAAAACGTGCAATACCTATGTAGTCAGGGGTGGTGACCTCTTTTCCCTTAGATTGCCAAATTAAAAACTGACAACAGCTAACATATTATTGTTTGTCAAATTAAAAAAAAAAAGACAATAGCCAACTGGTGTGAATGAATCAAAATTATACTTTTTTTTGGGTCAGATCAGCAATATATATATTTTTTGGTGTGCTGCAGAATTTTAGTAATCAGTTTATGTGTGTCGTGAGGTGAGAAAGGTTGAAAATAGCTGCACTAGTTGACTGTAGTGCTTAAGATGGTAGGTGCAGTTCCTGGAGATTGCTTCTCTGTCCCCGTAGGCACAGCTTCAACATCTCTTCTGGGTCCTCCTCCTGGTTTGCTCACTCCTCCTGTGGCCACAGACCTGTCCCAAAATGCCAGGCACCTTCAGGTAGGTTGGGCATCCTTTCCTAGTGAGTTTCAGCCCTTGAGACCACCCCAACATGCAAGGATGCCTTAAGTTTTCATTTTTACATCACAGTGTTCATTCTTCCTGACACTCCTGTCCTGGGCCAGTATGTAGATGACTAGACATTTCTGACTGGGGAGTCCTAAGTTTTGGCTCTAGGGAAATCTTTAGGGTGCTTCTTAGAATAAAAGAACTGGGAATTCAGCCCTGGCTGGGTGCTCAGTGGTTAGAGCATTGGCCCTCAGACCAAAGGGTCTTAGGTTTGATTCTCGGTCAAGGCATGTGCCTTGGTTGTTAAGTTCCTTCCCTGGCCCCCGGTCGAGGTCATGTGGGAGGCAACCAATCGATGTGTCTCTCTCTCACATTGATGTTTCTCTCTATCTCTCCCATCTTTCCACTCTATCTAAAAGTCAATGGAAAAATATCCTCAGGTGAGGATTTAAAAACCAAACCAAACAAAAAACCCCCTGGGAATCCTAGAAGAAGCTTGTGATGCAAGAATCAGCATACTGCCACCCCCCCCCCTGCAAAAAGATGGATTATGTCAACTAAACATGTATGCTTCCTTCCATGTGAATCTTTTTTTTTAATTGTTTTTTTTTGTTTGTTTTTTAGAGAGAGAGAGAAACAGAGAAATATCGCTGTAAGAGAGAAACATCGATGAGTTGCCTCCTGCGTGCACCCAACCAGGGATTGAACAGGGGATGGACACCAGCCAGGGCTTCCATGTGAATATCTCTCTCTCTCTCTCTCTCTCTCTCTCTTTGTTAATCACCTGAGGATATTTTCCCATTGACTTTAGATAGAGTGGAAAGGAGGGAGAGAGAGAGATAGAGAAACATCGATGTGAGAGAGACACATCGATTGGTTGCCTCCCTTACCACCCTGACCGGGACTGGGGACTGAACCTGCAACCCAGGTACATGCCCTTGACCAGGAATCAAACCTGAGACCCTTTATGATACTCAGGCTGACGCTCCAACCACTGATCTAAATTGGTCAGGGCTTCCATGTGAATCTTGATGCCATACTCTGATTGCGCTGACGGCAGGTGGATAGAGAGGAGATGCTAATGGCAAAATGTGGACAAATGCTCCCTATTTTAAACTGCACTCTTCTCTTATAGGGTGGGGAGAAGCAGCGGGTCTTCACTGGCATTGTTACCAGCTTGCATGACTATTTTGGGGTGGTGGATGAAGAGGTCTTTTTTCAGTTAAGGTAGGTTTGAGCCTTGTCTCCTTTTGGAAATGCTTGTTGGATTCAGTTCTGTCACCATGCTTGTGGGGCTCCTCTAAAGACATTGCTTTCCTGTTTTTATGCAAGGTGTGAGAAATCTTGTTGGGAAGGGCTTATTAGGGCAGTCAGGGTGGCTTGGCCAGGGTCTTCTGACTAGGCTTGTGTGCTGGCAGCGTGGTGAAGGGCC